ACTAAAACTTACACTCTTTGTTCTTTCCAAAGTTTGTTAATAAAATGACTAAAACTTACACTCTTTGTTCTTTCCAAAGTTTGTTAATAAAATGACTAAAAACTTACACTCTTTATTCTTTCCAAAGTTTGTTAATAAAATGACTAAAAACTTACACTCTTTATTCTTTCCAAAGTTTGTTAATAAAATGACTAAAACTTACACTCTTTGTTCTTTCTAAAGTTTATTAGTAAAATGACTAAAAACTTACACTCTTTGTTCTTATCCATAGATTTACAAATAGAACGTTCGTCTACTTCAGCCTTTGGTGGAGAGATGGTTTCACGGGATTGGAACAAAGGAATAACGGTGCTGCTAACCCCACCTCCCACCCCTGCATTATTGTTATTGGCATTCCAATCTGCCATTGTGGCCAAGTTAAGATTATAATCTTTAAACCACTCTGGATAGATGCTAATAATAGTTTCCAAAAGATCTTGGTCAAGTTGAATTCCCCAATATATCTGGTTATCTCCACTTCCTGTTGGAGAAAAAAAAAAGCCATCCATCATTTTCAAACTTAAAAAAAAAAATTAAAGTTTTAAGTTATCGATAATATTTTACTATAACTATGTGAATCATGGCACTGGATTTTCCATTATAATATTCTTTAACAGTATCATTTATAATCTTTTAAATGCAACAACATTCTCTTAAACATTATACTGATTTTTACAAAACTGGACATTTTTTGTAGTTCCACTATTAATGATCAGTGAATTGCAAAGTTGTTATTAAGAAACTGATTCTCTGAAAAGGTACACATCTTTTTCTTCAAATTTGAATGATCTGGGTGTTAATAACTTTGTCCTATGCTTTTCTTTAAAAAAAGACATACAACAGACTCACAATTCACCTTAGAAAACACATACAGTAGACCTAAACTTTTATTAATAAATTAATAGACACATACTTACACTACACATTAACTTAGCACAAACAGTAAACCTAAACCTTAAAGTAGAAAGCACAAACAGTAAACACAAGCATTAAATCACTAAGCACAAACAGTAAACCTAAACCTTAAAGTAGAGCACAAACAGTAAACCTAAACCTTAAAGTAGAAAGCACAAACAGTAAACACAAGCATTAAATCACTAAGCACAAACAGTAAACCTAAGCATTAGATTAGTAAGATAAACAGTAAACTTAAATATTAAAGTAGTAATTGCAAGCTGTAAACCTAAACCTTAAAGTAGTAAACACAAGCATTAAATCACTAAGCACAAACAGTAAACCTAAACATTAGATTAGTAAGATAAACAGTAAACTTAAATTTTAAAGTATTAATTGCAAGCTGTAAACCTAAACCTTAAAGTAGTAAGTAAACTTCATATTAGTAAGCACAAACAGTAAACCTCAACATTAAATTAGTAAACAGAAATAGTAAACATAAACCCTGAGTTAATCATCATAAAACCTACATAACTAATTAACTTGGTGCCATATTTCAGTGGGCCATCCATCTCAACTTCCTGTTAGAGCTACATCTTGTCAAGAATATATATGTTTTATTAAATGATTTTCTTATTAAATGATTAGGCCCTCGGGTTTTGCTCAAAAAAATAAGTTCAGGGTTTAAGGAGCAAGAGAAATTAAGAAGCTGAATATTTCAGTGAAAAATAATTTGACCTAAACTTCATATATCTAAGCTTTCAAATTCTCAAGTCCCAAAGTTCACATCTAGTGGATGGTTAGAAACTGACTGTAGTCTTGTGATAATATAACTTTTCTCCGATGATGTTCTTCTTCAATGTTAAAAATTTTGTTCTTTCTTTTTATGCTTCAGATTAAGATATCCAGTTTCAAATTTTCTTATTCCTATAGGGTAACCATTGTGGATATTTTTTCTACCCATGTTATATCATAACATTATTATTTGATTACCTCAATTAGAAGGAATTACTTAAAATCTTAAAAGTTACATAAAAACAGTACCCAAAATGCTGTAATTGTAAAAAAATTTCCAAGTCATCTAGGTTACTAATGGTCAAAAAACAGGACTGTGATTACACAGGAAAAGGGTAAAATGTTATCTTCAGATAGAGACCATAACCCAAGAATGAATGATACAACACTTTTAATATAGATAAATCAGTGACAGTTTTAATAATAGGTATTATGTCTTCCTCTCATTTTTTACATTGAAGGTTATAAGATATATTCATAAAAGTACTCCCGGATGTATACATGGAAAGGTATCTTTGATTGGTGTACTCCAGTTAGTGAAAAAACAGCACAGCTGGTGGAGTACAGATTATTATTTGAGTGATTCGTATTCAGATATTTTACTTTTAGTGAAAAAACAGCACAGCTGGTGGAGTACAGATTATTATTCGAGTGATTGGTATTCAGATATTTTACTTTAAGTGAAAAAACAGCACAGCTGGTGGAGTACAGATTATTATTTGAGTGATTCGTATTCAGATATTTTACTTTTAGTGAAAAAACAGCACAGCTGGTGGAGTACAGATTATTATTTGAGTGATTCGTATTCAGATATTTTACTTTTACACTTTATAGACAGAATTTATCAATCCCTGCTTAACAAGCAACTGGTATTATTTATTTAAAAGAATACTTGGCAGATACACAAGTTTGACAATACAAAAGTTTTTAAATTACAGAACATTTTTTGGCAATAGAAATGGCACCAAGTCGGAGCTTGACAAATATCGCTAGATGCTTTCCATGCACAAGTACACTCCGTGTGCAAGAGTTTAACTTCACCGAACTACGTAACAAAGTAGGATCAGAGTCAAGGGGAGTGACGTACTTTATTCAACTTGCTAGTCGCTTCCAATCAGACTAACGATTCAAAGAAGCTAAATTTGTGACATCCTAATCTAAAAAAGGCACAACTTGGTACCAATCACAACCGTCATTACTACGTATTACAATGTACAATTCGAATATAAAGAATACTGAAATTACACACCACACATCTGAAATTCGTTTGTTCCAAGACACGATTTACATACATTCTGTGTTTTTATATAATGTATGTGTAAAGAAAATGGTCGAATATTGATTAAACCTATCAGCTTCTTTCACTAAACCAAACTTTATGTGGGGTTACATCAAAATTAAACTAGAAACGTAACAAACAATAACAAAAATTATCACGTGCTACAAATGTGTTTGTTTGCCTGCATTCAAAGCACAAAGCTACACAACGGGCTATCTGTGCTCCGCCCTCCGCGAGTATCGAAACCTGTCGTAAATTCGCAGACATGCCGCTGAGCCACTGGGGGGGCACTTCAAATATGTATTACTGTACAGAGAATAAATAAATAAATTTTATTTGCACTAACGTTTATCTACTATAAATTACTCGATAAAAATTATATTACTTATTTGTTAGCTAAATAACGATTCTAGATTAACGCTATGAACACATTTTGAAAATTCACGTTTTTTGTTTTTTAATACACAAACAAAAGGTGTTTTCTTGTAACTTCAAAGATATAATGTGTAATAAGGTATTTACGAATGTTTTTAAATTTCTCTGAACTTCATAAATCCTTACAGCATTGTATCACGGAACACCGTGTAATCGGGCTTATTATTAATAGATTAAGTTATTTTATGTCGATAGAGCCTTATCACTACGTTGTACCTTCAGTGGTGAATCCAGGATTTTATTTTTAACCAGGGGTTTTCTACAGCATTGCTCTCCTGTTCCAGATATGATTTTGGGGGAACACAGAGCTACCAACACATTTTACGCATCTATGATCTGCAGAAAACGATACGAAGCAACAGCTTTTTATCACTTTAGTTTCCAAAAATGTTCATTAATTACAACTACAGAAAATAGTCCCAATCTTGGAACAATACACACACACACACACCCTCTATTATCTAGAGAAACAAAGCATAGTCTCTCTCAAACAAAGGCACTTCGTCATATTCACAAAATTAGATATACTTTATAATTAGAATAACCTACTGCCTTTCCTCTCTCTTTTTTTTCATGATGAACAAATTTTACAGTTCGATTTATCATAATTTGTAACTCCAGAAATATATGGTCGGAAGTGAATGAAATTGACTGGCTGCAAACATATGTAGATATGTTAAAGAGCACAAAGCCGTTTTTACAATCCGAATAAAAAAAATATAATTGCTACCTTTTGTTTTAGTTCATATTTCAATAAAATCATATGACAAAGTAAATTCTCCACGGGGCTCTATGAACGCTTTGAACCCGATTTGTGTCCACCAATGCGTCAAACCTAAATATAACTTTAAAATACGGCATAATTACCTACTAAAATACTTATTCCACCATCAAAAATGACTTAGCAAGATTACGATGTTAATTATTTTGACTGATAACTAAAAGAGGATTTCAGACTACCCAGAGAACGCCATTTTAATTTACCCAACAACTTTTATTCGGGGTGTTTGATGTACTGTGGGGAATAGGATTAGAAAATATGTAAGTGATGAAAATAATTATAATTTCGTAAGATCAACAATCCTTCAAATTTATTAATTACGAAAAAAATTGTTTCAGTATTTTCTGTAAAGCCTTGCATGGTTATCCCTAATTTTGAGCTGATACACTAGACAGAGAAGGCAGCCAGTTAACAACACCCACCAACAATTCTTGGGATCCTCCTGTCTGAGAAGGCAGCCAGTTAACAACACCCACCAACAATTCTTGGGATCCTCCTGTCAGAGAAGGCAGCCAGTTAACAACACCCACCAACAATTCTTGGGATCCTCCTGTCTGAGAAGGCAGCCAGTTAACAACACCCACCAACAATTATTGGGATCCTCCTGTCAGAGAAGGCAGCCAGTTAACAACACCCACCAACAATTCTTGGGATCCTCCTGTCTGATCGAATAGTAGGTTTGAACGTCACAGTCCGGGCACGATAACTACTAGGCCTGGCTGATCCTCACGATAACTTCGAAACAGAAATGAAACAGGGCATCATAATAAGTGTTTGAAGCGTGAGCTGCTCAGATTACACATTTTTTTCTGACACATTTTAGAATGATCTTGAGTTTAAACATTCTCCCCGAAGATCATTTGTTAAGACTGCTAAAGTTTTATAGTTCTCCCTTGTCACGCAGATACGAGTGGAACGTATTCTAGGTAAGGAGTCTGGGGGAGGGGAGTGGAGCAGAGTAATCAGACAGGGTGAATAACCAACTACAATGAGTCTAGTTGTATTTACTGGGTTGAATCCACTTTCGCGAACACCAGCCAATAGTTAAGTGGAATCCGCCAAAGTCTACTTCTTTCTCTTTTGACTTTTTTTTTATCTTTCTTCCTGTTGTTGTTTTTTCACCCTTATCAACCATGGTTCTCCTCACCTTGAACTTCTGTTTTGTCACCAATATATTTTCAAATCATTGGTTTAATTTTTTACATCTATCAACCATGGTTCTCCTCACCTTGAATTTCTGTTTTGTCACCAATATCTTTTCGAATCATTGGTTTAATTTTTCACCCTTATCAACCATGGTTCTCCTCACCTTGAACCTCTGTTTTCTCACCAATATATTTTCAAATCATTGGTTTAATTTTTCACCCTTATCAACCATGGTTCTCCTCACCTTGAACTTCTATTTTCTCACCAATATCTTTTCGAATTATTTGTTTTATTTTCACCCTTATCAACAATGGTTCTCCTCACCTTGAACCTCTGTTTTCTCACCAATATCTTTTCGAATCATCGGTTTAATTTTTCACCCTTATCAACCATGGTTCTCCTCACCTTGAACTTCTGTTTTCTCACCAATATCTCTTCGAATCATTGGTTTAATTTTTTACATCTCACTTCACTGCTAAGACATTTAAAATGTTTTGTTTTATTAGGGTATATTTTCAATTTTTCTGTCACACATGACTTGCCCTTTCAGCCATAGGGGCATTATAATATAATGGCCAATCCCACTATTTGTTTAGAGTAGTCCAAGCGTCGGCGGTGGGTAGTGTTGACTAGCTACCCTCTCTCCAATCTTTTACTTCTAAATTAGGGACGGCTAACGTGGACAGCCCTCGGTTAGCTTTGTGCGAAATACAAAAACACACACATAATTTACATTTTATAGAGTCTGTATACTTTCTCATTTCTATAACACCAATACGTGTTTTTCTCTTGTGTAGTTTCTTATCTACGTTTTTCTCAAACGTTCAGTTGCATTTGTTTCAATACTTAGTTTATTATTTTCAGTGTTAAACCTCACGATATTTTTGTTATGATTAACGACACGATGCTTTATGTTATTTTGCAATGTAGCAATCCTCTGCAGTGAAACCCGATTGCAAGGGAATTTCCTACCCACAAAATTTGGTTAGAAAAATTATTTCCACGAGTATCTCACGAATTTCCATACGAACATTTATAACTCATTCAAACGTAAAACCGAATTCGAATGATTTCAAAAACGATTTTAAATCCCTTAAAAATATGTTATAATGATTAATTAAAACATCTTGTTTACTTTCGCTAATGTTAAGAAAACACACACACACAAAACAAAATAAAAATTCAAACACGTGGCCAAATATAAACAGAAGGACTGTACATTTTTGGAAACAGTACATTTGACACACGTAAAAACACGGGTCTACGAGTATCTGCAGGGACGTTAATAAACACTGCGCGTGTGTAGGGTCTTTTTAATTAAGATTATTCATGTGCAGAGACTTTTCTAAATCTGTGCATGTCCTGTATCATGCAGGAGGGTAACTAACGCCTTATTTTCTGTCCTGATAACTTTTAATGACATTATTATAAGTTATTTTAAACAATGTAATCCACACATTATTATATATTATTTTTAAACAATGTAATTCACATATTATTATTATATATTATTTTTGAACAATGTA